AAGCTCTTACAACAAGAAAATGGAGGGGACACATCTGGGTGGGAGGGGGGAGAGGGAGGAGGGAGGGAGGTTTTGGTGATGGGACACAATAACTAACTACATTGTATATTGACAAAATAAAAATAAAAAATAAAAAAAGTGAACAAATACACCATTTTAGGAGCTTGACTTTGTGAATTTGATATAATAAACTTCTCAGTGGTGTTAAAAGGCAATAGGGAGAAAAGAGCTGGGGGAAATCCAGTGCACCTGGTCCCTAAAACGAAGGGCGAGATCTGACTGTCAGATCCTGATTTCATAAGACAGTGTCCCTGTAGAGGTGTCATGTTCTCTACTGCCATCAGCTTCCCTAGAGGCATGAAGGCTTCCCGCTTTTCATTTCTCTGATCCTTATCTACACAAGAGTGTCCTTTGGTAGCCGACAGAGCTGGGATTGAATCTTCATTTCATGACTTCCTAGACCGAGAGGTTAGCAAGTTGTGTTTGTTTAGAATTAGTCTATTCTTAGTGAAGCCTTCTCTATATTCATGAGGGAGAACTAATTTCCCTCTTCACGCACTTTGTTCTTGTATCCCTTAGGGAGCTTATTGTCTTATAATATATTGCTTTGTACCCATTCCTATATTGTATGTTAGTGAATTTTCTAAAGGCAAGGAATTGTATCATACTGATCTTTTCATTCTCAGAAGTTTTAGTAAATAAATGAAAGAAAGTGGAGACAGTCTTGACAGGAGCAGTGTACAACTAATTTGGTTTAGCCTTTGGGAGACTCCCCTGCCTGCCATGTCTCTTCCTGGAAAGGTTCCTGACTTCTATGCACAAAGAAAGCAAAACAGGGGAAAATCAACATTATTAGCTAAAATATTGGCCCCAAACTACAATATAGAACTAGTAGGTGGAACATGTGGAAGGCCAGTTGTTTTTCCTAAATTAGGCTGAATGGCCTAGAAACAAGCAGGATGTAAGCCCAGCTCTCTCCTTTCATTGTTCCATCGATCTCCTCCCCTCTACTGTGTCAGCATCCATCAGATCAGACTCTTGAATTTTCAGCATTTTTTAATGTGAATATTCATGATTTACAAAGCTAATTGTCACCCCTAGTGCCCATGATGTGAGGGCCAGATTCATAGTGGGGGCATACCCATTACCAGAAATTGCTTTTGTACCCCGTGTCCCCACCCAATTATCCCCAAATGTCCCTCCTCCTCCCCTTCTCCCTCCCATTCCACTTTGTAGCCCAGGAATGTTCCCTTCCTCTGTAAGACCAACACACTACTGTGGTCTTTCTTTCCTTCCTTCCTTTCTCTCTGAGCTCGTATATATGAGTGAGTGCATGTGGTACTAACCAAAATTCTTTTAAATGTCTCCTGCAACAGAATTTGTCCCTGGGCTAAGGAAGAATTAATTACCATGCAGAAGAAGGGTCTGAGATTTAAGATGGTAATCTAGAAGCAATATTAATGGATTAGGGGGGTGGAGTTGTTTGTGCAGAATACCAGCAGTTTTACACAGGGCAAAAAAATGATCTAAGAATTCTCAGCAGCAAATGATACCATCACCTTTTTCAAGTAAGGTCTGAAAATCAGCATTTGGACCTGCTCAGATCAAACCTGGCCTGAAAATTCTTGGAGACAGCCAATAATTCCAATTTTTAAAAGCATCTTTTCATTTTTTTCTTAATTTTATAAACAATTTTCCTTCCTCTTACTCTAATAGAAGATAGAACTAAATCAAAATAGATATTCTTTTTATCGCATAAAATGTAAGAGGTACAAAAGTAATTTCTGTTAATGGGTATACCCCCAGAATGAACCTGGCCCTCACATCATGGGCACGAGGGGTAACAATTATCTTTGTATCTCATGAATATTCTTAATAAACAACAACAACAACAAAAAAGCAGATGCCTATAAAAAAATGTAAAAGGAAATTCAGGACCTTGGAGGACAAGAAGCAACCCTGCTATACTGGAATTTTCTCATTCTGAGAATAATAATATCTACTACAACACTAATGTATGAAAAAGAGTCAGATTAAGAAGAAAATAGGTGTTGCACTGATCTCTGTGTGATTCCATTTTACAGACTAAAGTATTGATGTTCCCCAGAACACCAAATATATTTATTTTTAAATATAAGAATTTAAACACATTCCAAAGCTAAAAGGAAAACATTTGTAAGTTCCCTTGGATTTTATTTATCCACCCCACTATGGCTCTTTTTTATAGTATAATTATTTGCTCATATTTAGATGATAGTACAATTCTCAGAAACACAAAAGCTCAATTGAATTAGAAAAATTTTACTTAACATTGTCCTACTAAAAAGAAATGTTTCTTTTAGAAATAAAAATACTTTATTCTATAAGCAGAACAAAATGAAATGATAAAGATATGCAAAACACACAAAAAAATAAAGCACAGAGACATCAGCCATGATTAGTTGCATACAAAATAAGCCCAATAGTCTCCACTCTTCCAACTCTATTAACCCCCTACACATCCCAAGCTTGTGAATTTTTTAGGTCCTGCAATAAACGTAATACACACACACACACACACATACACACCATCTTCTTACTCTCCACAATTGCCTGTCCACTTCATCCCCCAATATTTCCCACCACAGCAATATTATCTATGATCCACAAGGAACTAGTTGATTATCAGTTGCCAAAGAAGGAATTGGTGAAGCCAACGTAGTCGTAGCCAGCAGGATGGCTTCGACCCCGTGGGTCCATATATTGCTGCATATGTATGGTACAGAATGACACTTGTTCTGGGGTGAGCGCCTGAAAAGTATAAAAAAGAGAAAGATAGTTATAGGGATTCAGAATAGCTGGTTTCTTGGCACTTTCCTTATGACCTAAACTCAGGAATTGGAGAATCTTTGGAAGGAAAAGCAAGTTCTGTTCCTATCACGCCCTTTTCTCATAAAGTTGATTTCTAATAAATAAGATCAACTCAACTTTTCAATTCAGTTCTTTCTGAGAAAAAATAGCTTGCTTACTATTTGACTTATTAAACAGAAGGGATAAGAAACAGCCTTAAAAACTGAGTTGCAGGTGTTGGATTGACTGTGATAGTCAATAGATCACAGGTTTTTGAGCAGGGTCAAGAAAAAATGGTAGCATCTTGCACAAGAAGAGGTCTAAGAAAATAAATGGGTAGGTGTGGGGGGGATTTCAAAGTAGGAAACCAGGCCTGAGATGACCAAAATCCAGATTCTGGTGAAAGCACAGTAGTGGAAGCAGCTGGAATCTAACCTGCTTCATATCCTCTTTGGTAATGTAGGCTTTGCCTTCTGCCAGGGATTGGAAAGCATTCTCTATCTCATCGCTGGACTTGATGTTCTCTGACTCCTTGTCAATCAGGAATGAGGTATATTCCTCCAGTGAGACATAGCCCTTCCTGTGGGAGAAATGGATCAGGAGCTGTGCCTCTCCAGACAGAGAAGAAAGAAGGCACTTTTTCATCTGACTCATTGTCTTGGAGACAGAGAGAAGCTAGGTTCTCTAAGTGTCTCTTCCAACTGAGCTCTCTGAGACGATGGGCTGTGCTCTCCATGTTGACCACCTCCTCATCCTCTTATAGCCAAATAAACACTGTTTCCTGAACTCCAGACTCTGTTTCCATAGGTGTCATTCAGCCTGACTCTTTCCTGAATTTGGGAATTTCCCATCAGCACCAGTCCCCAACTACCTCAAATGATGTCTGGACTCCTTTGAGCCTCGGTATTAGAAAGAATTAGTCCATAACAGTAACTTGATCCCTCTATGATTCTGTCACATCCCCACAAACACACAACCCCACCCCCATGTTTGGCCTATAAATCATCCACATCTTCGTAAGAGCTCACACACATGAAGGTATTCTTCTCTCAAGTCCCACCCTCGGAACCAGCTGAAATTCATACATCAAACATAAACAATGATTTGGGCAAATTGCAGAGCTAAAGCTGAGTTGCAATCAGTGCAATTTACTTCTAAGCTTATCTTGAAAAGGCACCAAGAACTGCCCAATTTATTTATGGTTTTCTGTATCTTCCTATTCGCAGATGGATGAGTTAATTTCATGTTTTATTGATCATTTTACTCTCTCTGTGCTTCTCCCTCCCAGACCCAATCCATGTCACAGACTGCCCCTCAGTTTTCCTCCTACCTCCCTGGATCCACAGCATCCAGGAACTTCTCAAACTTGGGCTCAGGTTCACCCTCCTCCACCATTGGCAAGTAGTAATTGAGTCCTCTCAGGCAGGAACGGAACTCTCGATGAGTCAAACGCCCTGTCAGATTCTCATCAAAGTGTCTAAGGAATAAAAACATATTATTACTATCAATAGAGAACCAGATTAGGACAGAAAGGAACAGGTCTTGTTGCATCAGCTGGAACTGTATTAACATGTCATAAGGATGTCAGAGAACTGAGGAGGGAGCGTGTCTGTGTCTCTGTACTATTTTTTAACCTAATGGATGGGGGGATGTAGGGGTAAGAAGCATAAAACATTGAGCATAAATAAATGTACGTTTTAAAGTCCAAGAATCTCACAGACATTATATTAAGAGCCATAACTGAAGCTAATTAACAGATCTCGATCTTCATTTAAGTTTCCACCAAGTTGCATGGAGGGAGAAGAATATTAATTATTTGTAAACTCATTCTGAATGGTCTGGAAAACAAAGAACCAATCGACTGTGAAGTCATACTCACTTATAGGTTGTGCTAAACTCCTTTAGCGTCTCTTCACTCACACCTATGGTGTCCCTGAAAGGAAAACCATGTCTTAACCCAAGAAATAAAACATAGGACAGCAGAACACATGCCACATGAAAGAAAGGTGTATTTTAGTGGACAATATGCCATTTGAGCCATGTAGTTGAGGGGTTGGCCAACTATGGCCCATGAGCCAAATCCAGCCCACCACCTGTTTTTGTACAGCCCACGAACCACGAATGGCCTTTACATTTTTATATGGTTGAAAATAATGAAAAAGAATATTTAATAAAACATAAAATATAAGAAATTCAAATGTTAGTGTTCATAAATAAAGTTTTATTGGAACATGGCCACACTCACTCACTCACAAATTATTTATGGCTATTTTTTTCACAACAGCAGCAGAGTTGAAGAGTTACAACAGAAACTGTGTGGTCCATAAAGTCTAAATTATTTATCAACAGGGTCTTTACAGAAAAAGTTTGCCAATCCCTGATGTAGGCAAAAATGCTGCCAAAAAGCTATTGAGTCCTAAAGCTTCTGTAATATAATTTATATAGGGGAAAAAATGAGTTTCTGTTTTCTGCTCCATTAGGCCACACTTTGAATATTTCTTCCATTCTAGACATTATATTTTAGATGGAATTTTACAAAATTTGTTTTGTTAAATTAATTTTTTTTAAATTTTAAAATGGAATTTTACTTTCTGAAGAGATCATGTAAGATAGAGAAAAGACTCTGAGAATTAGAGGGAGGAATCAGTTGTTATCTAGACAAGTGTTAAACAGACTTGGGGAGATGAGGGTGTTTCTCTTATTTCATGACAGACTCCAGTATAAAAAGAAATACTCATTCTGTAGAGCAGTAAAGAGAGAATGTTGGTTCTGGAGAAGGTATGTGTGTGTTATATCTGAAGCAGATCTTTTATCTAATACCTCAAACTCTAGCCCTTAGTTAAACTTCTAATACAAAATACCACCTGCACCCCTCCCTGCTCTGGCCATAGGTCCTGCGTACTTGGCTTGGATCTGTTGCTCCAGGTTGTGTTGCATCCTCAGCCCGAGCTGGTAGAGCTGGTCCCACTGCTGGGCCAGTCCAATGGTGCTGTATTTGATGTCAAGGATCAGAGCCTCCTCCAACTTTTCCCCCAGGTCCTCAATCTTAGTCAGCTGGCGCTTCTTCACCTGGATCTCCTTCTGCTTCCTCTGGAAAAGACAGAGGAAATAAAGAGGCAATCACACAAGGCCAACCAGCTTTAAACCTAGAGGTGAGAGAGAAGAGAAGAGGCTGGTGAATTTGGGTTTCCCTTCATTACTATTTTTCAATTATCTTCAGGGATCTTGTTGTCCTCCATGAAAAATAAACTACTCAAGAAAACCGCTTTATTCTGTAGTCTTCATTTATAAAATAGCGGGAAGTTTAGGTGAGATGACTCCTGTCATTCTGGTCTTCTGTAAAACATGAACCTGAGAGTCAGTAGTTATATACTGCAGATAAAGAAGGGTGCGATTTCCAGGACCTGTGTATCATCAGCTCAAAGTGATCTACACTGTGAATTATCTGCACCACTGATTGTGGCTGCACTCATAGACTCACTTAAGCTCCCCAGTGTTCACTCCTGGGCCTCCTTCGTCAGCTGGGGCAGATGTGCATGGACTGCTCCTGTCATCCACACACACTGTATACCAAATTTCTGCATCTTGCCCATGCTTTCTCGCTGAGAGGATATTGTTTCCAAGAAAGGGAGGGGTAAATTGGTTCTGATGACTGGGGAGGCATTAAAATTTTTTAGATATTTTGAGGTTTGTGGCCCTCCAGAGATCAACTCTACTTGACATCTTACTCTTTAGTATTTAATTTCTCTTGTCAGGGAGAAATTAAATTAAATTAGTTATTTATTTGGGGGCGAGGGTTAATAATGAAAACGAGGTTGAGAAACACTGTTCTAGTCCATTGCTTCACTCAGTTGTCAAGAGAGGATCTAGAGTCAGTTGCATCACCCTACCACATCACATCAAATAATAACAGAAGTTTGCTAGATTGGCGGCTGGGAGTTTTACCTTAATCATTACAGTAACTGTAATGGAGGTATAATAATCCCACTATACAGATGCCGATATTGAAGTTCAGAGATTTAAGCAAACTGAGGTCCATATCCATGAAGTGTTGGCCTATGGTTAGAGGACAAATTGATGGCAGGGTAGAGACTACTGTCTTAATTCTCTGACGATAGGTGACACTTACCTAAAAGTATCACCAGGATTGTCTTAAGTGGTTTTGCTTGCATTCTTTATAATCCTAACAATATCCTCAGCTACTGAACAAACATTACTTACTTTATTTGCTTCCAACTGGGATTCCAGAGTTCCTGTTTCTTTGAGCAAAGATCTAGTTAAGAATCAAAAGGAAACATTATTCACAATATCAGAGGTCAATATTTCACGCAGACATATCAACTCCAAGCCACCCTTCCCTGCTTCTCCATCTCCCATGTTGTATGGCCTCTATTAAATGAAGTTTTACAAACCAAATTTTCACAACCAAACCCTTCTGTCCATTGGCAACCTGGCTAGATTGATGAGAAGGGAAGGCCTGCCTAGAAGAAGGTCCCCACGTATCCCTCCCAGTTCTTATTCTGAAACATACATTTAGGTAAGACTCCACCTAGTGGTACATAGGGGCAGAATGAACTATAACGAGTTCCTCCTTTTCACCTCACATTTTTATTTAGGCACCATCAAATTGTGATAGGATAAAGATGCCTCAGTACTAAAGCCTTCTTAGCTAATCCTTCCAGAATATTGTAAGAAAATAAGTATGATAGCATAAAATACTGACCCATCCAGAAAATAAGCCCTGGACATGGAGGTCCGGAACAGGAATCAGATGAAAGGAAAGGAAAATCATATATTAATATGAATCTCTTCAATGACCTTCTTATTTCCTCAGATTTATGAAACATTCTAAATCCTTTGTAGCCACAGAATATGAACCTGTCCACCCACTGCTCCCAGAGCCTCTTCCATACTGAGAAGTTCAGAATCTTCCACGAAGCTTCTTGCCTCAGGAAGAAGAGCATGGATGGCAGGGATATGCTAATTGTTGGGCACACATGCCAGGGTATGATAAAGGGACCAAAACCAGAGGCAGAGGACGGTGCTCTGGGTTTTGCCTGTCCTCTGTTAGATGTATTTTAGACATGATACAGAATTTTTTTGTTCATTGTCTGAGTTATCCTCGTCAGTGAGTATGTAGAAACAGGATTATAACAAATTGTCCAAATCACTACTTTAACCCTCAAAACACAATTCTGACCCATCTACTAGATAGAGTCTACCAACATTGACCATTTATTCTGACATATTACGTCCTTTAAGTCTCCTCTTTTCCAGGTCGTTTACCCCAGAAGATGTGACAAATGTTATCTGCACGTACAAAACATTTTGCATTTAATAAACGCAATTAACATTTACTATCTCACTTGATTCTCATTACGACTTTAGTAGGCAGGCAATATAATAGCTTCATACAAGGTGTCCACAGTAGGCTCTGCTTCTGGTTGTGCCGATAAATACATATGTGACCTTGAGCAACTGAATTTATCTACTTGAACTTATTCTCACCTGCTCTGTACAGTTTTCAAGGCCACTCTGAAAATCAAGTGAGGTAATGGATATGGAAATACTTTGTAGAGTGCAATGTGGCATGCAAACATAAGGTACCATTATTATTCTGGACTGTTATTACAGGAAATAGGAAGAAAGGTGAGAGTATCAAGGAGAGAATACAGAAGAATGCATAATGGGAAGCAGGATGAAATCACCATTTCTTGATTTTGCAAGGTTTTTGATTCAGAAAGAAGTCAATTCCAAATATATAGCACAGACAAGATATGATGACCTTAGGACAGAGTATATGCTGTAGGAGTCTCTCCTCACCCCTTCAGATATGTATTTCAGCCCTATGGAAAACGGTACGTGTAGTATAGGGGTAATGGGTTTGGAGTTAGCACAGCCCACCTGGTCTCCAGGATCCACTGAAGGAAGTCACTGGCATTCTGTTCAAATTCCTGGCACATCTCAAAGTTCTCCACCTGTCTTGCCTCTTCCTTTTGCAACTCCTGCTCTCGTTCCTAAAAACCCCAAATCATAGACAGTGGAGCTCACATTGAAGGTCTTTCTCTGCTGTAAAAGGAACTAGTTTGTAGGCTCAGCTGCTCTCAAATCTAACCTGTCTTGCACATGCAGGCATGTGTCTGTGTGCTCATATTTCTTCTATCCCAACTCCTCTCTACTCCAAAATGTGAAGAAAGCCCATGCCACTTCCCATAAGTGCTTGCAGAAGTCTCTAAGAACAAGCAGTAACAAGTAAGCTAGTAAAAAAGGCAAATTTCCCTCTTCTCCATCTTTGTATTTTTTTTTCAGGCGAAATTAAATTTAAACGAACATAAAAGCAGCCTTAAAGGGAAAGGTAGTACAAGAATTGCAATCTAAAAATGGCAATACTATACTGAGATTTTTCTTTGTTATTTTCTTTATTTTCCATAGTTTCAATAATGAGCATCATTATAAACTGACAAAAATTAAAAATAAGTCCATAAAAAGGTGCTTTTGGAGGTGTGTATAAAATAGGGAGTGCCTTAGATGGGGGGTATATATAGTCTGTGTGTGTGTGTGTGTATGTGTGTATGTGTGTGTGTACATATATATATATATATATATATATATATATATGCCTCACAAACTATTCATAACTCATTATTAGAATCACCTCTTGGAGCCTCTGTTAGGTTCCTTGAATCATTGCTCAATAACCGGAAGCATGAGACTGCCCAAAACTACGGGGCATAGGGTACCCCTACTGCAAACATTTTTCCCAGTTTTTCTTAAACAAGTCTGACTCATGACTGTTGTCCCAGTATAATTATTAATAGTGTCTGTTTCTTTCTCAAAAGTCCCCAACTTGGATAATAAATTAGGTGGTCACCCTCACTAGCCAAAGGAAATCTCTGCTGTGCCGCAAGTTACCTTGATGATGTCAGGTAGGTGATTCCAGATCCTTTCTAGCACCTCCACTGTTAACCAGGTATAAGGGCTAGAGGGCACATTTAAGGACTTAATCTTCTGGTCTAGCTCCAGCAAATAGTTAAAGTCTGCTTGAGCCCCAGCCATGGAAGCCAGGAAGGCCTCGTGGTCCTTCTGCAGCTGCCGAATCTCATTCAGGGAGACACTGTGCACAGGACCTGACAGGTTCTCTTCAGCATTCTCACACCAGTTGTTGAAAGCTGAAGCCTTGTTTGCAAATTCCATAAATAGCTCCTCAGCCTGTGAAGAAGAAAGAAGGCACCTCTGTCTTTCTTGATAAAGCCACTCAGCAGAAGAGAAGACTGAGGATAAAAATAATGACTGTCTTGAAATATTTGAAGGACCAGCACTCTAAAAGGGCAGAACTAATACCAGTGAGGATTATGTGACCAGATGGATGGACACATGAATCAGACGCACAAGCCCTGATCCTGGCATATTCTCAGTGTGTGAAATTGGTAAAGTCTTCCATCATTTACAAATGAGAAGTTTAGGGCTGAGCCCGTGGTGCACTCGGGAGAGTGTGGCGCGGGGAGCTCAGCAGCGCTCCCGCCGCGGGTTTGGATCCTATATAGTGATGGCCGGTGTGCTCACTGGCTGAGCGCAATGCGGCCAGTCACAAAAAAAAAAAAAAAAAAAAAAAAAAAGAGAAGTTTAAATGACTTCTAAATTTATGTCAGCTCTAAGATTCCAAGTGTGGAGGGTAGTTTTTAATTATATGATTTCTTATTCTTAAGTCTGTATTTCCATTCTATCCAGCACATAATAAACATTCAAAAATAGGTGTTGAATGAATGAATGTCAAAATGATTGAATAAAAATACCAGGCAAACCTATTGCATTCTTTATCCACTTCCTCCTGTCCACCAAGCTTCTGTAGAGCACACTCCAGTGATGTCTCTGACAACTAAGTCATTTTTCTAGCTTCCTTCTAAACATTGTTCAGATCTCATCTCATGCCTCAGGATTTTCAGACCACAGCTTAAACCCATTTACCACTATCTAACCTGAATCCTTAGCACTAATCTGTGTTATCTCCATATGCTGAATCACTCTGAATTGTCTATATTACTGAATGAGAGAAATAGCATGGATTGCTCCAAAATGAAGATGATCAAAAATAGTTTTAGACATAAAATACATACTAAACTTTGTCTCAGCATATTGTACTTTTAAAGAGATTTGTCTTGAGAAAATATGAAAATGAGTTTTTATCCCCAAACAATGGAGTTAAGGAGAAGAAAATTGGCCCAGATTGAGAGGTGATTACAAGGTAACTGCACCATTACGTCTCATCCTGTATTCACTTCAGCAGTCTATATGCTGAAATAGACCAACGCAGAGAAAATTACCATGGCCTCTACACAGGAAGGACATGGTAACCTATAAAGTACTTCATATTATTTTCATAATATTATGGATTGACTTAATATTTTACAAATATTTTATAATCATAAAATAAAATTTTAAAAACCCCTTGTAGTTTGAAAATTAAGTAAAATAGAATAGGAATGCATATTAGTTTCCTATGTAGAATTCATGCATATATGCAAAGTTGCCCAGTTAATTGACTTAACTTTTCACTTAAGATTTATTCCTATAGGTACCATGGCCTTCATTAGAGTAGAAATAAACTAAACGTCCAGATGGGCTGATTTTTGCTTGTGTGTGTGTTTTCCTGATTCTTTTTAATGCACTAAAATATTTGTAGATTATCCATACAGGGTTTTTAGTATCTATTTCTAAATTCCACAGTTAATATATAGATAATAGAGGCCTGAGCATGACTCATCTTTCTTTCCTTTTTTTCTTTTTTTTTTTTTTTTTTAATTTTTACCTTCTGTAAAGGAAGCTGCTTTTCCAGCAGTTTCTGTCTGTGGGCTGCAGAGGCTTCCAGTAACTGTTCCCAGTGCCTCAGTAGGGCAGCATGGCGCTCCTCAATGGCTTTGGTCTGGCTGTGCTGAGCAGTGACTAGTTGGTCCTTCAGATCAGTGATCTCAGAAAGTCTCTCTTGCTGGAAGCTCTGCAGACTGGCATCCAGTGTATCCTGAGAGAGACCAACAGGGAGGCTGTGAGCAGGAAAATACTGCAGGTTTCAAGGGATTATTCATACTTGGCTTCCACTACATCCTTGTTATGGACAAGATAAAGGCTACACAAGAGTTAGAATGATGATCAACAAAAAGAAAATATAATATATAGATATAAGTGAACATTTGGTGTTGGAATTGTTAAGTTCTGGTGTAGGTATATTTTATAATTAGATTTTAGGTTGGTTGTAAAATTAATATTAAAGGAATATTGGAGCATGATATGATATTCCAAATTTTCCCAATTAAAACTCATTCCTTTCTACAGCACACATCCTTTCCAAGGCTTGCTTATATCACTTATTACATTCTGTGTTCCAATTAGCAGCAGTACACGGGTCTTGGTAGTACACAAAATAACGAAAGACTTTCTACAGGTGCAAGTTTTACAAATGATTTTTTCATGGAAATGCTAATATCAAAATTACAAAATTTGGAAAGTTCCACTTCCATCTTTGACAGAGTGGCTTCTCTTTGACCAATTCCCCCTTTGATATTTACAAACAACTTTAATAGCTGAATGAAAGTGCAAAATATCAGCTGTTTGAAAGGGATCAGAATGAAACTCAGGCAGCTACAACTCTAGGGACCTTCTAAGCTCTTCTCCCACCTACCAAAAATCCAGAGAGAAGAGAATAGCACAAAAGTCAGAGCAATAATCTCTCCACTTTTCCCTTTGAAGTATAAACTGTGCAAGGTAAGAGATGAAGGAGAAAGCATTGCTCAGAGCTTCTGACAAACCCACAGTGTTAAAGAGACAAAAATTAGCATTATGGGGCCATGAAAAGGGAACTACAGAAAAATAGGTTCAAAATTCTGCTGTCCATTCCCTCAGGCATTTTAGATTACTAAACTGTATAGGACACAAGTCCTA